TTCTCATCCTTCTCTTGCTCCCTCTTTCATCCTCCCTCTGTCCTCCACGTCATTGTCGTCGTCCTCCTCATCGCCATCCCCCTCAACGACGAGGGCGGCAGAAGCGAGGACGACGAGAACAGCAAGGTCGACAAAGACAACGACGACGACGACGAAGATGACAACCGCGATGACGCCTGACGACACCAAAGACCGCGACGGCGACGACAACGATGACGACGACTACGACGACGACGCCGACGGCTACATCGTCGCCGACGACAAAGACAAAGACCGCGACGACGACGACGACGAAGACGACGACGACGAAGATGACGACGACGACCCCGACGACTGCCACGACGACAACGACCGTGACGAACACAAGGATTTGGACGACGACGACGACGACGCGACGACGATGGCGACGGCGACGACGACGACGACGCCGACAGCGACGCCGACGACACCGACGACCGCGACGACGGCGTCAGCGGCAGCGACGGCGACACCGACGGCGGACGACGACGCCTACGATCGAGACGACGACAGCGAGGGGGGCGACGACGACGGCGGGCCGCGACGACCAGCGGCGCGGGCGCGGGCCTGGCCGCCTCGCCGAGCCCCGCCAGAGCCTTCTCGGCCATCTCCTGCGCCCGCCTGGCGGGCGCGGGGGTTGTCTGGCTCGGCGCGGCGGACGCGGGTCTTTGGGTGACCCCAAGGGGGGCCAGCTGAAAGGGGGTGGTGCACTAGATTTGGGGGCAATTGTATGGCAAACGTACTGCGCCGGAGGCTTGTACTGCATTGTACTGCAAGTAATGTGTTGCACGCGAAAACCCAGCAATACATTTGCGCCCTGGAATGTACTGCGCGCCCCAGATGTATGGCAACCCCACAAATGTATTGCACCAAATCTAGTGCACCAGCCCCTTTTGGGTCAAACAGAAGTCCTGGAGGAGAGGCTCGAGGTAGAGACGCACCCCGACGAGCGAGGGCGTTCCACCAAGCGCGCCCTCGGCAGGAATCGAGCAGGGTGGAGCCGTTGAGGACACTCCCAGGGCCGCTGAATTCGGGAGCGGTCAAGAAGGGGTTGTCCAAGAGGGGGGGGTGCAAATCATGACCGGCGGCGTGTGTGCGGCCCAGCGGGGGGGCCAGGGATGTAATGACATAAGAAGGGGCGCCAGGAAATCTACGGAGATATCATGGCACCCGCCATGATATCCACCCCCCCCCTAGTCATCACCCCCCCTCTGTGCCGCCCCCGATGAATAAACGTTCAGTATCTCAGTATCTGGGCTGGGGGACGGCCACGACGACGACGAGGAGGAACAAGCAAACCCGATGCCGCAAATGCTCACAGTGAGAGGGCACTGCCTCCGGGGTTCGCGGCGGCCGGCCGCCCAGGAGGCGCTATAGGCGAGCCTGGGAGGTGGGGGGGCGAGAGGAAGGTGGGCTGGATGCTGCGGGGGTTCTTCTGGCCTGGGCTTACGTCGGGCGTGACCCCCTACACGGGGATTTGGGGCGAAAAATAAAAGATTCATCAAAAATGCTCCCAAGTGGTCAAACAATAACTAAAAAAACGTCCCCAGACTATTTGTTGACTATGTTTGAATATTCCCCCTGTAGCCCCTGCGGAGGGGGATGGGCCACGGGGACGCGGGGGGGGGTGGACGGATGGGAAGAATGATGAGGAGAGGGGGACGGGGGGGGGCGGGAAGGGAGGGACGGGGAGGGGGGAGGGGGGGGAGGGGGGGGGAGGGGGAGACAAGCTAGGTGCGCTCGCGTCATATCTGACGTCCTACCCCTCCCTCCCATCCCTTACCATGGCGCTGATTTTCTCTATCCGCGGACGCGTGTCGTAGCGGACCTGTGGCTCCGCGCGCGCGTGCGTAGTGGGTGGTGGTGCACGTGCGTGCGTGCGTGCGTGTGTGCGTGGTTGTCTGGTGGTGGTGGTGGTGGTGGTGGTGGTGGTGGTGGTGGTGGTGGTGGTGGTGGTGGTGGTGGTGGTGGTGGTGGTGGTGGTGGTTGTGGTGGTGGTGGTGGGGTGGCGGGCGGGCGGCGAGAACGCCATCCTGAACGACGGAGGCCAAACACCGATCCGAAAATGAGGCCCACGCTGCAGCGGGAGCACGATTCGGAACGATTCGGGAGCAGAAATGAGGCCGGCGCCTCAACGAGAGCAGCATTTTGAGAAAAAATGACGCCGGGGCCTCAGCGAGAGTCGTTTCCCGGGATTTCCCGGGCATCCTGTGTGTAAAAGACAGTACGCGGAGGGTGCGCGGCCATCACCCGGACGCCATCAGGGGAAGAGGGAGAGTATTTTCATATTGAGTAAGTGTTGAGGGGGGGGATGGGAAGAAAGCAAACTTGATTTGCGCGACGGAGGGCAAGGGGTCTTGGACCCCGAGGCATGCCCATGGGCGCAACCTTCTTTTCCCGAAGTCGTTCTAAGATGGCCCCAGGAAGCCTGGGAACCAGCGCTGGTGCAGCCGCAAACGGCGACAGCCTTCCGGGCCCCTCTTCCAGGACACTTCCATGTCCGGGCGACCCTCTAGCAGAGGGAGGCAGCAAGTCCGTCCCATGCAGGACCAGTCCTGGGGTACGTTCGAAAACCTCGAGTCTATGTACATTGTGAGGGGTGATGGACGCCTGGAAAACCCACAACTTCGACGACGCGATTTTTTCGCAGAGCGGACCCCTCGAGGTACTGCTCCCGTTCCTCTGAACTGTTTTGTTATCATCGAGCCGTTCTTTTACCGCCCACAGGCCTGTGAGGACCCCTGGAAACAGAAGATTGCCAAATGCCTCCCGTCGTGATCAGGCGTGTAGATTGTGCTGCGCCCCTTCCTCCCCTCTCATCCTCGCATTCCTCCTTGGCAGTCTAGGCGACCTGGAGAAGTCCTGCAGAGTTCAGTGAACAGTACTGAACTCGGAGAACGACACCTGATGTGTCACCGCGAACGCGAACAGTTTGGCTTGCACCCCACGTCGCATTCAAAAGGGAGCAAGACCACCAGTGTCCCCACACCGCAGACCTCCGAGCAGATGGACACGCACGGACGGACGCAGCCGCGGCCGACCGAGACCTTGCCGAAGCAAACCTCTGCAACGTGTTGCAGAGGCAAGAGAACACCGGAGAACTGGGGGCAAGACGAGCCGCAGTGCCACACCATTTTTCGAGCAACGGCCGGCCCCGCATGGCTCAGACAACGTCGCCCCCAGTGCCGCCCTAAACCGGCCGAGGGGCGCCACTCCCTCGGATCGACTCTCGCCCCCACGCACCTCCTTGGCGACGCGCCCAGGCCGCGGGAAGGATGGGCGGGGATCCCCACCCGCGTCCCCGCCCGAGCCGTGGCGGGGCGCCACGTGGGCTGCCGCAAGGAGGACGCAACAGGGTGCAATGTGTTGCTTGTTGTTTCTCTCTCTCTCTCTTTCTCTCTTTTTCTGTTTCTCTCTCTCTCTCTCTCTCTTTCTCTGGCCCCTACCGTCAAACAGGGGTGACGAACGGGCTGCTACCCGCCTGTTTCCCTGGGGCGCCCGAAGGCACCCTGTGGCACAGGTGCCCATATTCCTCCGTACATGCTCTTCCTCCTCCTCCTCCTCCTCCTCCTCCTCCTCCTCCTCCCTCTCTTTACCCGACTCCTCCCCCTCCTTCTCCTCCAACTTCCTTCCCTCCTCCTCCACGACGAGGGGAAACAGGGGGGCCTGCTCACTGTGAGGCAGGCTGGAAACGGCCAGGGCACAACTGCCCGCTGCCCCCTGCGGCCAGAGGCGGCCAAGGGGGTGCAGCGAGAGAGCCCGTGTGCGGTGGTCAGGCGGAGGCAGGGCGAGGAGAAATCCGGGTGGGGATACATCGAGAACCGATAAGATCCCGCAGTTCTGGAGAACCTATCGGGCGTCGCGGTCTTCTCAGAGCGTGCGGGAGCGCTCCGAGAGCGCTCCGGAACTCTCCGGAACGCACCCTCGGGGGCGGCCAAGAGGGGGGCGTCCAAGAGGGGGGGGGCGCAAATCATGGCCAGCGGCACGTGCGCGGCCCAGGGGGGGGGGGGGGCCGGGGACGCACTGAAACAAGAAGAGGCGCCATGAAAGCAGGGGACAGATCATGGCCCACGCCATGATCTCCCCCCCTAATCATCACCCCCCTCTTTGCCGCCCCCGACATCCATCCTCGTCTGAGACGGTGGCGTCCACCGCGGGCCCGCCTCTCCATCTCGGCGTCGTCGCGGGCGGCCGCCATGCCCCCCAGGGGCGGGGGGCAGGCAGGCGGAGAGGAGGGCGAAGGCCGAAAAGGGGGAAGTGTGGGGACAGGAGGAGGAGAAGGAGAAGGAGAAGGGCGAGAATGAGGAGGAGGAGGAGGAGGAGGAGGAGGAGGAGGAGGAGGAGGAGGGCGAAGGGGAGGAGGGGGAGGGCGAGGGGCAAGGAGGAGGAGGAGGGGGGGGCGAGGGGGAGGGGCGAAGAGGGGCGACCACCTCGCGTCGCGACAAAAAACGTGACGGGAGGTCTGTGTGGTCATCTTCGGCCCATGCCGGCCCGGTCATCTTCGGCCCCCGCGGGCCTCGCCTGGGCCCCCGGGACATGCAGGAAACCAGGTCTGGAAGACGAGCAAGCGCCAGGGTCGAGACCTCCAGGGTCTACGCTGTGAAAGCTCACTACGTCTGGGGTCTGGGGAGGGAGGTCCACGTTGTGAAAGCTCACGACGTCTGGGGTCTGGGGAGGGAGGGCGAGAGGGAGTGGGCCCAGCGTCCCCAGCAGGGAAGGGGGGAGGTAGAGCGCAAACTTTCGGACAACAGGTCCGTCCGGGCCCCGAGGCTACACGCGCCTGGCAAACCTGCCTCACAAGGCGGGAGGTGCCGCGTACGAGACAAGGGTGGTGAGATGGCCCTCCCTCGGCGCGGCCTACTGGGGAACCCAGCAAGGCGGGTAGGCAGTGATCAAGACACTTGAGGGCACACGTGCGCAGCCACGACAGAAACGCCGCCTTTTCGCGCGCGCTGGAATGCGCGATGCGACCCAGGGGAAAATTGTGCGGCACCGCTTGGGTCCCCGCCCCCCCCCCCGCAGCGGTCCAAGAGAGCAGGCGGCGGAGCAGGTACCAACCGGTCGCGCGGCAAGATGATAGGGGGCGGGCGCTCCCACCGCTGTGGCGCAGGTTGGGCGCTGGCCGAAAGCCTGTCGCAGACTGCCCTAAGCCTCTCGCGCTCGATGGAACCTGTCGAGCAGCGGGGTTGGCTGCTCCTGTATTCGGTAAAGGGAAGACGCCAGCTGGCTGGCTCGCTGGCGAAGCGCACGGACGCTGGTGCTGGTGGTCCCTTCAATGTTCCATGCATTGGCCGTGCGACGGAGGACTCACATGCGGATCCCGCGTCCTGGGTAGTCAGTGCTGGTAGGTCCCAGGCCTGCGAACGTTCAAGGCTTGTCTTACGTTCGATCGGTTTTCGCCAGCGTGCGCAGTGAGATGCTGCTGGAACACGACGTTTTGTCTCCCTCTCTCTTCGGTACCGTGGTTGCGGACACGTTCCAAGTGTGCATCCAAGCTGACGAGGGGGCCCTTGCCGTTACCCTGGTGGGTTTGGGCGTCGACCGTGGTCCTTGGTGGGTCACAAACTGAAGTCTTATGTGCGTGAAAGGGGCAGTGCAGCATGGTATTGCTGTTTTCTTTTTTCTCGCACACTCTTATTAGCTCGCCCCTGAGCCTTCGTTTATCGGAGCGGTGTTGTTGGCACATACGAAAGAAAAGGCGTGGCGTTATCGGGCCAGTTCGTTGCATGCAGCGACTGCCCTGTCGATGCCACCGCTGCTCTGAAGTGCGGCGACACAGGCTTCTTTTCGGGACAGGTTGCTGTCTGGTAAACGCTTGGCACACCTTACCTGGTGGCCTGGGCTGCCGTGGCGCATGGGGCGCGCGGCGGGGGCCTTTCGGAGCCATGGCGCGCGCGGGATTCAAGGGATGTGACGCCAGTCTGTCACGGCCTGGATGTCCTTGTGATTTCTCGCGACGCAGGAGTGGATGCGGGGCTATTGGAGTCTGGGCTCGCTTTGAACAAGACTCCCGAGCCGACACTGGACGGTGCAAGAGAGGAGGAAAAGTAGATGGTGGCGAGGAGGAAGGGAAAGAGGGGCAGAAGCCCCATGGACCCGCATGGAGCTCTTTACCCCGACGGGCTTCGCGCCAAATGCCGTCTTTTGTTGAGGACTGGCCTTCGGGATCGATTTGGACATCCGGAGACCAAAGCTCGGAAAGATCCAGGCCCCCCAAACCAGGACACTGCTACACCAGTAGAAAACGAATAATGGAAAATGTACCGACCCGAGGCTGCCATTTCCTCGGGCGCGCCAATGGAGACCTCCCAAGTGGGGTGCGAGCAGATGGGGCGGGAGGACTGCTCAGCATCGGCGATGCATCGGCGCCGCCGCCGCGGATACCATCGGACTGCGCGTCGAGCCGCACTTCCGATGCCTCCTCGGTGATGCGGCGCGATCCCTCGACCCCACCGACTCGGAACCCAAACTGGGAGGCCCCGTGGGCCACTGCCCTGGCTTGCCGCAGTCCTCTTGGACAGGGGGGCCCCGAGAGCCAGCTCGCCGTCCCGAGGCCCGAGCCGGGAGGGCGCCCAAGTCTTAAGTTCGCACGGCCAGGGTCTTCTCCTTGACGCCGGAGGTCTTGGCCCTGGGCTCTGTGGCGCGAGGCGAGTCTGGCCGTCCGGCGGCGAGGGCGCGGAGGCTGCAAAGATAGCTCTCGTGACGACATCTTGTTTACAGCCAGCCCGTATCATTTAGAGCTGCGCGGGAAGGGTGCAAGAGCCCTGGAGGCCCATCTGATGGTTTTTGTTCGAAAGAGGTTGGCCAGCGAAAGTCGCAAAGGATGGGCCGAAGGGGCAAGGATGCAAGGGTACCTTTGGGAAGGTTTCCCATCCTTGCTATGCGGGTTGATTGTACCCGATCACCCCGCGCCCTCCCATGATAGATACCATCCTGACTCAGTTCAGCTTCACGACGCCGAGAATTCCAGGCCCAGGCAGGGCCCAAATCAAGACTGCCCGCCCCTCCCGACCGACTTCCGCACGCCAACTCGGCCATCTCTTCTGTTCTAGCTCCTCCGCCTTCCTGTCGGTGCTGCTGCGATCCTACATTCCTTGCCCGTATCAATAGCTTCTCCCTGTCGCACCCCGAGGCCAGTTTTTAGGGCGGGCCGGGCGTTTCGCCTAAGCAACAGTTCCACCGATGGTGGGCGGGTGGTTGTCAAAATGTGGCTCTGGCCTTAGCGCCGCGCGCATGCGTTGTTTTACAGGAAAAAAAGATTTGCAGGAGCTTTATGGAGTGAGGGCGGCTCCTTTCCAAAAGGTGGCTCTCGCCTTGCCGCCGCGCACATTCGTTGTAACGAATGTAAGAGCTTCACGGATTGAGGGCGGGCGGTTTTCGAAATGTGGCTCTCGCCTCAGCGCCGCGCACATTCGCGCTTACATGTTGCAAGAGCTTCACGGATTCAGGGCGGGTGGTTTTCAAAATGTGGCGCTCGCCGTA